TTTTAAAAATAACTTTCCATTATTTTATATTTTAACTTTATTTATCATTGGTATTATTTTCCAGTTTGGCCCGAGAGAGAGAGAAGGAAAGTGAGAAAAGAAGCCACCAGTTTTAAGACTTGCACCATGGTTAGCCATGTGGGAGTCCAGCGCCTTTAACCAGCATGCCAACTGCCAGCCCCTGTTATTATTAGTTTTAACTTGACCAGAGACAGAGAAAGGGAAAGCAAGAAAATAAGCTGCCAGGTCTGGGATTTGAACCATGGTAGTCCATGTGTGAGTCCAGTGCCTTAACCACCATGAGAGAGAGTCTCTTGCCTTGGAATGACTGCTCCCCTTTCCATCCCCGTAGTTCTACTTCTGAGTCACAGGGCTGTCATTTGGACAGATGGCCTCAGTCACGCCATGTCAGCCTCCCAGTTGCCGTCTCTGCGTCCCTGTGCAAAGGTGTATTCTGAATCTTCACTCAGAAGACTAACAGGTTCCCCGGGTTTTAAAACTTGAAACAGTGAAACGGTTCAAAGTTTTCCCTCCTTCTATCTTTTTTTTTTTTTTTTAGAATTATTTTATTTTACTTTATTTATTTATTTATTACTATTATTGTCTAGTATGATCAGAGAGAGAAAGGGAGAGAGTGAGAAAGCAAGCTGCCAGGTCCAGGACTTGAACTGCGATTGGCCATGTGGGAGTCCAGTGCCTTAACCACCATGCCACCTGCCAGCCCCCTCCTTGTGTCTGTTAAGTGAAAACGACTATGCTGTTTCCGAGTTCAGACAGTTTCTAGTGTGTAGGGGGAAATAACAGATCCGTAAAAACAAATCATCGACATTGTAGGTAATCTGTAAGCTCTTTCTCTACCGTTGTCCCCGCTAGCTGCCACGCCTGTCTTTTCCACTTCGTTGTTTTCTTTTGGTAAGTTTATTTCTTCTGTGAGTCAGAAACAGCGGGACAGAGACAGCACCCCCAGCAGGGTCCTGATGCCGTGACCCACCCCCAGCTGCAGCCAGCCCTGGGTCATGGGCACATGCAGCGCCTGGTGGATGCAGGGAGGTCTCTGGACATGAACCCAGAGCCGTCCCCTGTGGGTTTTGTCACTGCACTGTCTCCTGGTCCCCGTCCCCATGTTTTCACCATGCTGTCCCTTGACTGCACTGGTGTCCTGCAGTCAGGGAGACAGAGCCACACCTGGCACTGCCAGGAGGATGGGGCTCTTACTACCCGCCCTGTGCTAGAAACACCGCCTCCTGCTGTGTGGCCTGGACTCTGCCAGCCTCTCGGGTTCCTTTCGTGCATCCCCAGACGCGCTTATTCCATTTTTCATCTGTAACCTGATCTCTGTATTTGCTTCGTTTTGTGTGCGTGTGTTTGCAAACTCCAGTGCTGAGCTCTCAGGTGTCCCAGGCGGTGCCTGGTGCTACCTGCAGGGTTCTTCATACATGATGTACCAGCCGTCGGATGGATAGGTTAAAGTTCCCCTACTCTGAGGGCTATTTTCTCCTTTTGTCCTAAGAACAGGTAAATTATTCACGGCTCTATGTTGGAGTCGTGCATTTCTCTGCCCTTTTCCTCGCTCGTGTTTGTAATGGAGTATGAAAGACGAACGCTGCATACCAGGGCAGCATTCAAATGGGGCGTTTGATCCTGGACCTAGAGGTGAGCTACCTTCTCTCTCAGATTTTTGCCACAGGGCACGTGCACTCACTGGAGAGGGACAGAGAGGAAGAGAGAGAAGGAAAGTGAGAGACCCCTCCCCAGGACGAATGGCCACATCGCAGTTCCTTCTCCGTTCTTCTTGGGATTTGGGGCACGTACTCGCACCCAGTGTGATTTTCAAGTCACCAGGTCCAGGACTCGAACCACTGTCAGCCATGTGGCACTCCAGCACCTTAACCACCATAGCATCTGCTGGCCCTCTACTCTCTGTTTTTAATTGCCAGAGAGCGTGTGGTCAGAGAGGAATAGAGAGGGAGAAGCACCCGGCGGGGGATGGTCACACTGCAATCCTTTTTCCTCTTTTTCTCATCCCATCAGGATTTGAGGTATACACACACACACCTGGTATGTTTTTCAAGTTGCTGGGGCTGAGATTTGAACCGTGCAGTGGGCTATGTGGAATCTGGCTGTTGTCAACCCTAGGAGACCAGCAGATGGTGTAATGGCTATGTCGCTGAATTCCCATGTAGTTGACCGCGGTTCGTGTCCCAGACCCAGTGGCTTAAACTCATGCTGGATGCGTGTGCATGTGCGCCCAAGATCCAAAGAGGAGAATGGAAGAGAAGGGATTGTGGTGTGGCCATCCCCCATGGGGGGTGATTTCTCGCTTTCTGTCTCTGTCTCTCTCTGTCTTTCTGTCTCTGTCTCTCTCTGTCTCATGCGCCCTATAGCAAAAACAAATCCAAATAAAAAGAAAAAAAAAAATCCTAGGGCACAGGGCTGGCCCAGTAGTGTTGTATCAATTACACTGAGAAATAATATTTTAGGTATATTGGGTTAAATAAACTATTATTAACATTATTTCATCTGGGTCAGCAGATGGCGTAGTGGTTACGTCATTGGACTTCCTGGCCAACCATGATCCAAGTCCTGGACACTGACTTGAAACTCACGCCGCATGAATGTGCGTGCGTGCCCAAGGTCCAGGAGGAGAATGGAGAAGGGATTGTGGTGTGGCCATCCTCCTGGGGGGTGATTTCTCACTTTCTCTTTCACTATCTCTCTCTCTCCCTGGCGAGCACACGTGCCCCAAGGCAAAAATCTCTACCAAAAAACTTAATTTTACCTGTTTCTTCTTAAGTTTTAAAACCACAATTACTAGAAAATTCAAAATTGCTTTATTTTGCATTGCATTTCTATGGGACCTTAGGATTCTAGAAAGGATAGTAGTTGTTAGTAAATGTCACTCTGAGTTGAGACTTACAGCTCATGAATTCCCCTCATTGGCGGTGGGAAGTGAACAGTTCACCCGTAGCTTCGTCGTTCTGCTTTTTCCAAGGCTGCAGGGTGGGGAAACCCCCTCATGCCCATCTCCACCAAGTGCTTAGAAGGTCAGATTCAGCTACTGGATGCGTTAGTTTGAAAATCGCAAAGTTTGGCATCAATTATGGGCTCTTGTTTGGATGTTCATCAGGTCAGAACTCTTCCAAACCCTCACGTGTGCAACACAACCTTTTGAGTCTTTTTGGGTGTAATGACAAGGAGGTGTCATCCCTGATCTTGAAGAACTTAGTAATAATATGACATGCAAACAGCACAGGAGCACGCGTGTCATCACTCAGTGACAGCAGACTGCCCAGGGCCGGCGTGGCCAGGGGAGGAAGACGCGGGGCAGGCAGAGCAGCAGAAGGCTGCTGGTGTGGCTCCTTGTGCTCTGAGTCATTTCCTCTGTCACCCGGAAGCCCTTACTTAGGGAGCGTGAGCCGGCCGCTTGGGTACATAAGCAGCCGAGGCCCTTAACCTCCCCTGGCGAGATGAGTCGTCCTAAATCGGCCCCCAGCAGGCCTGCGCCCGGGTGGGTTTGCTGGTCTGCTGTGTGCTCCGCCTTCCCTGCTGTACTCCGAGACTGAAGAAAACCTGCAAATGCCCTTCCATTTTATTTGCCTTCTCCAGGCTTTTCTGTCTGTACAGAAATCCAAACGTGAATGAAAGTGAAAGAAGAAGGACAAAAATCCTAATAACTTGCCTCATTTTTATGGAAATACAAGGCTGTTCAGAAGCTCCCAGAGCGTGGTGTAAGTGTCTAACTGAAGCAAGGGGCTCAGGTTACACTGCATCTCCGCGTTGGGGGTGGGGGACAGCAAGTGACACAGCACAGGACACTTACATAACCATGACTTCAGGGGATAGGAGTAAGCTGTGAATGAACCTCCCAAACCCAGGAATATGATATGAGAACACAGCCTCCGAATTTTTTTTCACAAGCTCGACTTGAAATTCAGCCTCAGAAACAGCTTGCTCTCCGGCTGGATTTCCATCGCTCGCGGAACCTCTCCCTCCTCTCCTGTTCCGAAGCGAAGCTCGGGGACAGACAGCGCTGTAGAGTCAGGGTGGCACTCAGCCATCTGGGGTTGCCCACAGGTAAGCCCCCCAACCTGCCTGGTGCGGAATTTCCTCCCCATCACCCAGAAACTCGCGTTTCCAGACGCTCTAGACGCCCTCATCGCCAGCCACCGCCCGTTTCTGGAAGCTCAGGGTTACACTCCCTCTCCTGGCAGCTTAAATTCATTGCAAATCCTTCAGCCGTCTCTTACTCCCGACAGAATTTCCAGATTTAGGAAAGGAGTATTCATTTTGGTGATGGGAGAAATGGGCCCTTGAAGGGCTGGAAGCGTGGCTGTGATTGGCCGCGTGGGGGGCCGGGATGCTGAGCCCGTGGGAGGCTCTCATCAGATCTGGGTCCTCCCGGGGTGGCAGAGTCAGCCAACACTTTCACTTTTGAATCCCTGACCTTTGACTCGCAGGAATTGGGTTGGAAATTCAAAAGCCCGAGCTGGCGTTTGAAGGGTCCGCACTGAGCTAGGGTCCTCAGATTGTACGTGGGAATTCCCAGGTCTGGGAGTTCAGGAAGTCGCGGCAGTCGGGGCGTCTAGCTGGGCCCAGCCCAGGTGTCTTCCCCAGTCTCGCTGTTTCCAAATACTTTGATTTGTTTTGAGTCATGGCGTGCTTTTGAATAAGAGCAAGCGAACCCTTAAGAATTGGATAGGGCTTACGAATGATCCCGTCCTTTCCAATTTGAGCATAATTTCACCATGTTTGTTTTGGAGAACTGTTTAAGAACCTCTTCTTTCTGTAAATTGCTGAAGGTTTTAAGAGCATGTGGGGTCAGGGAGAAGAGAGTCGGTATTTGGCTTTTATTAAAACATTGATCTTCTGTCACAAAACCCTTTAGTTATGGACAGTCGCAAACATGAGAAAGTAGAGGGACGTTGTCACCCAGCTCGAAGCTGTCAGTTCATGATCAGTTTTGTCTGAATGTTTTCGTGCGCTGTAATTAAACCTGTATGTTTCCGAGTACGTTTCCTTCTTGCCAATACAATGCCTTTTTGCTTTTGAAAAGATAGTATATTATTATTCATATAATCAAGCTGTTTGTGGTATGCAGCGTTTTCACTTTAGATGAAAATCTCAGATGCTTAGCATAAAACTTGATGTATTTGAGCAGTTTACTTAGCCAAGATCATTTCAGAGCTCTAGGGAAAGGCTTTTCTTTTTATTACTGTTTTTTAGGTTTTCATCATAGGACGTGTGCATTTGCTGGAGAGGAGAGAGACAGAGACAGTGAGAGGGAAAGTGAGAAATCACCCCCTGGGGTGGGGGGCATGGTTACACAGTAATCCCATCCCCTCCATTCTCCTCCTGGTGTGACTTTCAAGCCACGGGGTCCAGGACTTGAACTGCATTCAGCCAGGTGGTAGCCAGCACTGTAACCACTACGCCACCTCCTGGCCCTAAGGAAAGGCTTTATCTTTTGGCCCCACTATCTCAGTAAGATAAGCCAGCCACTGTCTCAGATAACCCCACTAACTTTAGTGGCTCCCATTTATAAACTTTTTTCAGGCCAGCAGGTGATGTGGTAGTTAAGATGCTGGATCCCACATGGCTGACTCTGTGGTTTGAGTCCTGGGCCTGGTGTCTGTGTATGTATGTGTGCGTGTGTGTGTGTGTGTGTGTGTGTGTGTGTGTGTGCATGCATGCCCAAAATTCTGAGAGGAGACTAGAGGAGAAGAGATTGGGTTTAGCCATACCCCCTGGGGAGTGATTTCTTACTTTCCTTCTTTCTCTGTCTCTAGTGAGCACATGTCCTATGGACAAAAATCTAGAGAAAAGAGTTTATTTTCATTTCTGGCAAAGTCCAGGATAGATGCCTATTTGTTTTTTAAGAATTATGTATTTATTTATTTATTTATATTTATTATTAAAATTTTTAAATTTGACCATAGAGAGAGAGAAAGAGGGAAAGTGAGACAGCAAGACATCACACCAGCATGGGCTGTCTGGGAGTCCGGCACCTGACCCACCACGCCACCCACTGGCCCCTTAGACATTTTCCAATGGGAAAATGGGAGATGAGCTTGAGGTCCAGGCTTCTTCATCTTATTCTTCCATTTTCAGTACATCCTTTTACAGTCACTGGACAGCTCCCATCAAGCCACTGCTGGGCCAGAGAGCGTGGGGGACGCTCAGAGTGGCCGACAGTGCACACCCTTCTCGCCTTCCATTGGCTGGAACTCCTCGCATGGCTATGCTGAACTGCAAAGGGCGCTGGGAAATACAGTGTGGATCCAGAAGAAACAAGTCGGGCTTGGCCAACAGCTAGCGACTCTCCATGGGCGTCTCCTCATTCTATTTCGCGCTGTTTATGTTCCCAAGTCCAAAGGAACAGTAGTTCCTTTCTCAGTAGAAGCCATTTTACTGTGACTCAAAAGTCATTGCATTTCCCCCCCCTATTTATGAAGTTGTATCTGCTCATTAAATCAAATTTGGGAAACCCAAGAAAACACAAGCTATCAAAACTGTCAGTAGTCCAGGGTTAGCTGCTAGTACGGTGGTTAAGGCAGCCGGATCCCACATGGCCGGCTCGAGTCCTGGCCTCAGTGCTTGTGCGCGTGAGCGAAATTCCTAGCACAGATGGAGAAGGGTTTGCAGTGTGGCCATCCCCCAGAGGGGCTTTCTCACTTATTCTCCCTCTCTCTCCCTCCCCAACCCCTCACCAAGCGCACATGCCCTCTAGCAGATTAAATCAAAAAGAAAAACCTACCAATAACGCTTTTACAGGAGGTTGGGCTGCCTCTGTTCCTTGCAATTTAAGAACTTTGAACCACATAGATGTAAGTATAAAATTGCACTAATTCTCATTCCATGCCAGCCTGATGACCCCACAGCTCCTGACAGGGACAAGACCGCAGCTACTGCCTGCTAAGAAGGGTCTCGTCCAGAGCCGGTGCAGGGCTTTACACTTCAGGCACTTTCCAAATGAACTTCTTACACATCTTCATCTTCACTCCTCTTAGTAAAGGCAGTGGGACCTGCAGGTGGCGTGGTGGTTAAGGGCACTGGACTCCCACATGGCAGACTGCGGTTCGAGTCCTGGACCTGGCAGCTTGCTTTCTCACTTTCCCCCTCTCTCTCTCTTCCTCTCTCTCTTCCTCTGTCCGTCTCTGGTTAAATTAAAATAAGTAAATAAATAAATAAAGCTAATTAAAATTAAAAAAGTAAAGAGTAAGTAACGGGGCGAGGAGTTAATAGTATATTAGGAGCAAGCTAAGGGTAGCATTTTAAGTTTATGATTTGCTCTCTACTCAGTTTCTGGAATTTTAAAATATTGCCTAATTATCCGTGAGAGAAGACTAAGAAGCTGCTCGAGAGTGAAATGACAGGGAAGGTGCAGATTCCGCCAGGATAGTCACACAGCGCTGGCCGCTCCTCCGCTTGCCTGCCGGTGAAGGCTGGCCCCGGTGCAGGCAGACTCTGGTTGTCTC